GAAGAGAAGAGAAGAGAAGAGAAGAGAAGAGAAGAGAAGAGAAGAGAAGAGAAGAAGCCTAAGAGATGATGGGAAACATATAATGCTTATATTTGAGAAACATACAGGTAAATAGGTGAGTCAAGATAAAAAAACAACAACAACAAAAAAAAAAACCCACATCCAAACAAATGGCAAGAAATGCTGTTTTCCTTTCTACTCATCTAAATCTTAATTTCCTCAGACCAAAGCTGCTCTTAACTGTACAATGTAGGGAGAACTCTTGTATATAGAAATCTTCTAGCACTTATAATCCATACAAGTATTTCTTAATCACCAGTTTATGGTTTACCAGGGTAATTACTTCTTCATACCTGTTTTCTCCCCAAAACCCTTAGGAAAAAAATTCCGTCTTTGTTCTTCCCTCTCCATTTGCTATCCCTTTTCCCTTCTCTCATGGTGTTCAAGACAGAATTCAAATGGTTTGGTGATCCTCATTATAAAAGGGTTGGGAAAAGTTGGTCTTCTAAATACTATAGCTGTAACCTATATCACTCCTCTTAGCAACACCTAATCAAATTCTACTGCCTAAAAATCTAAAATCTAACAGGCATTTTGTTTTCCTAGCAAAACTTCCAAATTATTTGGGAGCAAGGGAGTATCTGAATCTATACTGGGATCTATGTACCCCAAGGGGTTCACAAAATAATCCAATAAAGTACTGGGGGGGAAACAGAACATTTTATTTGTAGACATTTGTCTCCTCCTTTAAAAACTTCTATTTTAGGGTATACTTTAGAACATAAGTAATATATTATTACAGCAGTGCATATATATAATTTATAAACACCAAATGTACATACATTAAATCTAAGTACTCAAAAAAACTTTTACTGCTAAGGTTGATCAAAAAATGTTTGGAGAGCCTGTCATGTACTCCCCACAGACCTAAATATAAAAAGTAGTTGCTGCGTTAAGATAAAAGTGTAAGGATGAGGGATGCCTGGGTGGCTCAGCTGGTTGAATGTCTGTCTTCGGCTCAGGTCATGATCCCAGGGTTCTGGGATCAAGTCCAGCATTGGGCTCCCTGCTCAGCAGGGAGTCTGCTTCTCCCTCTGCCTGCCACTCCCCCTGCTTATGCTTATGTGCTCTCTCTCTCTCTCTCTCTCTCTCTCCCCCTCGTTCTGACAAATAAATCTTTTTTAAAAAGTGAGGGAGGGGCACCTGGGTGGCTCAGTGGGTTAAAGCCTCTGCCTTTGGCTCAGGTCATGAGCCCCGCATCGGGCTCTCTGCTTAGCGGGAAGCCTGCTTCTTCCTCTCTCTCTGCCTGCTTCTCTGCCTACTTGTGATCTCTGTCAAATAAATAAATAAAATCTTTAAAAAAAAAAAAAAGTGAGGGGGAAAAAAAAGTGTGAGGATGGAAAGGAGGCATGGCTAGTGCTTTGGTGGGACTCAGAAGAGGCTGGGGTCTCCATCTTCTATGGTTTCCTCTCCCCTTTGATACCACAGCCTTTTTTTTTTTTTTTTTTTTTACATTTTCATTGAGATGTAATACCAAGGTCAGTGTTGCATTTTCACCCAAAATCCCTGGGGAAAAACTGTTGGGGAGGGTAGTGTGCAGCACTGTAGTGCTCTCTTTTCAGAGCCCTCTATCTCTGACAAACAGGTAGGGGAGAAAAACGTCAAAGACACAAATCCTTCTTTTCAGAAACGCCTTAGAGTCCTCAGAATGGTACTTAAAGATCAGGATTTCTGATTACTATGCAAAGCCAGATGTTGACTAAATTGAACAAATACTGTTAATGGTATTATGCACAAATAAATTAAGTTTATAAATAACTGGAGACTGCCACACTTGGGTTTAGTTAGGAACAATGGAGCAACTTAAGTAAATAAAAATTAATTTATGGATTTCCTGCTAAGCACAGATCTTTATTTACTTATGCCACCCTGATAATGAAAATAGCAGCCACCATCTGTTAAGTGCTTACCATGTGTCAGACCTTAAATATTTTATTTAGTCCTTATACCAACCTGAGAGGGATTAGCATCTTCTTACAGATGAGAAAACAGAATTTCAGTGTTAAGTAATTGTCCAAGGTCACATGACTTAGGAAACAGCAGATCTTGATTTTGAACCCAGGTCTAACTCCAAAACCCATCCTTTCATCCACCATGCTATACTGTCTAATCAATACTTTAGGTAAGTTTAAAAACTTTTATTCAAGAGCCATTTTATATCAGGACCAGTATCTTTACATAGAATATATAGCAAGGTGTTATATAACCAGGCAATGTGACCTCTTAGAATGCAGTACAAAACACAGATGGGAACAAAAAAGAGGAAGTATCTCTTAGTATAAAATCCATACATTCTACTTCACTTCCTTCTCTCAAAGAAAGGCCTTAAGACTCTTCAGTCAAAGGGTCCTTTTAATATACAACTTGAGTAAGACTAGATTAACTGGTTTTCCACCCAAAGCAGATTAAAGATAGAAAATGAGATTCAGAGGATATTAGAAGCAATCTCACTGAAAGTGAAGAGAATTAAAAGATGGACAGATAAATGCACAGAACATAAAGATGCACAATTCTGAAAAATAACAGAAACATCTCTAAAAGCATAGCAGTTTAGGATAATTTATTTTTTTATTTTTATTTTTTTAAAAGATTTTATTTATTTATTTGGCAGAGAGAGAGAGATCACAAGCAGGCAGGCAGAGAGAGAGGAGGAAGCAGGCCCCTTGCTGAGCAGAGCCCGATGTGGGGCTTGATCCCAGGACCCTGAGATCATGACCTGAGCTGAAGGCAGCGGCTTAGCCCTCTGAGCCACCCAGGTGCCCCAGTTTAGGATAATTTAATATAGCAGCTCTCAAAAACACTTTGATCTCAGGACCCCTTTACATTCTTAAAACTTTTTGAGAACCCCCAAGAGTCTTTTTTAATGTAAGTTACATATCTGTCAACACTTATCATATTAAAAATTAAAACTGAAATGTTTGAATTCCTTAAATACACTTGACATAATTTTTAAGAAAAACTATACTTTCCAAAAAAGAAAAAAATTTAGTGAGATGAATGCCACTGTTTTATATCTCTGCAAATCTCTTTAGCCTAGCTTAGAGACAGCTGGATTCTTTTATCTGCTTTTACTTTCACCCTGTTGTGATATGTTGTTTTGAGTACATGAAGAATTCAAGCTCACATAGTTGGAAAGAGGAGAACAACCTTAATTGCCTTTGCAGATAATTGTGGATATTCTTTTTTTTTTTTTTTTAAAGATTTACTTATTTATTTGACAGAAGTCACAAGGAGGCAGAGAGGCAGGCAGAGAGAGAGGAGGAAGCAGGCTCCCCGCTGAGCGGAGAGCCCGATGCGGGGCTCGATCCCAGGACCCTGGGATCACGACCCGAGCCGAAGGCAGAGGCCTTAACCCACTGAGCCACCCAGGCGCCCCAATTGTGGATATTCTTTAATACCACACCAAAACTCAACAAATAGTCTTAAAGGCTGTTTATAATGTAGAGCCTGAAATTGCATAATGAAATTTTGTTACATTAAATTAAAATCTACTGGTCTATTTTTTGCCCAGGCATGACTTTGCAACACCACTCATTAGTCATCTGGAAAATACTGGTTCTCTGAATTATGCAAATCTTCTAAATGCCAACACATTTAAATACACCTAGGAGATCAAATTTGTTACTATGACCACCAATTTCATCAAAAAAATCTGTAAGCACTGGGAAGCTGTCAAGCTCACCACAGCAACAAACGTTAAGTTTTCCAAAATTCTAACTTTAGGTTAATTTAAATTTTACTATTCACAAATATTTTTCCTTCAAGTGAAGGCTCATTTCATTCATTTTCAAGAAACTGTTTACCAGGGACGCCTGGGTGGCTCAGTTGGTTAAGCAGCTGCCTTCGGCTCAGGTCATGATCCCAGCGTCCTGGGATCAAGTCCCACATCGGGCTCCTTGCTCATCGGGGAGCCTGCTTCTCCCTCTGCCTCTGCCTGCCATTCTGTCTGCCTGTGCTTGCTCTCTCTCCCTTTCTCTCTCTGACAAATAAATAAATAAAATCTTTAAAAAAAAAAAAAAAAAGAAAAGAAACTGTTTACCAAATAGCCTGCTCGGAAGAGTCTGTGTGGCTGCAATCTTTTTAAATAAAAATAGTGTCCCATGAAAAAACAGGTACTTGCGCTTACAACTGAAATAACAGTGCTTTTCCTTGAGACAATTTCAGTATGCATCACACAAATATGAAAAATAAGTGTACTCAAGGGTCAAGACTCAGTGAGATAAATCACTGTTACTGTTTCATAAGGACAAGCTTAAATGAAACTGGCACTTTAAAAATATTTAATTTAGGGCGCCTGGGTGGCTCAGTGGGTTAAAGCCTCTGCCTTCGGCTCAGGTCATGATCCCAGGGTCCTGGGATCGAGCCCCACATCGGGCTCTCTGCTCCTCGGAGAGCCTGCTTCCTCCTCTCTCTCTGCCTGCCTCTCTGCCTACTTGTAATCTCTGTCTGTCAAATAAATAAATAAAATCTTTTAAAAAAATAAAAATATTTAATTTATTTATGTATTTACTATGAATGCCTGGGAGTGAAAATACAGTATTAGCACAATTTGGTATCACTGTCTTATCTGTGTTAAGATACCAGTAATTCTACTCACCACTGTTTTTTGCACCATCAATGTGAATGTCAAAATAACACATTTTTAAAAAAGAAAAAGACATTTTGGTATTATGATGCAAAGAGTTTTGACTCATGGATTCCCTGCAAAGATCCTGGGAACACAAGAATCTGCAGACCACACTTTTTAAACCACTAACTTAATCTACCATATGGGTGATTGACTCATACAACTTGATGGACCCTGAAAGAATTTTTCTAGCCATTTTTAATGTTGGTTTTGGTGTTTTTTTTTTTTTTTTTTTACTTTTAATGTTTGTAACTGATCATTTCATCAAAAAAAAGGCAAAAAACTGTACTCCTTAGATTCTACTAAAAAAATGTGTAATACATATTAGAAATATTTCCAGCTAAACTTTAAAATAAAACAACTCTCAAAAGCTTAAGATTCAGTTGACTAGAAATTATGCCTTATGTAAATGACCTTGTTTCCTGATAATTTTGCAAAAATGAGTAGTTACTAATATTTTTAGGAGTATGCAGATACTAAGAATATGGCATTAAAAAAAAGCTTTGGAAAATAAAAGGACAAATCATCACCCACATTTTGGATAACTGCCACCCTGCATTGCTGAATTCAAGATGAGGACAGGGATCATAGGAGTCAGAGAGGCACAGGACCAGTTTCTAGGGATATAAAAGCTCACAGGGATGACCAGCCAGACTGAGGCAGGAATCTAACAAGGGCGATTCTCTAAGCAAAAAAAGCAGACAGTTTTGTGAGTTGCAAGATGAGACCTGGAGAAGTCTCAGTTTGGGGGGCAGAAGGGAGGAGTGGGGCAAAGATATGCACTTAAGACCAACTGCTCATACAAATACCTAGTCAGGGGCAAGAGAGCAAAAAAATAAAATCAGACTAGTTAATTAAAGAGAAAATAATTAGTTTCAAGGGCAATACACTGCATATAAACATTTAACATCCTTTCCACTCAAATACTGGATTTTCATATTACCTTTTTTCTCTTCTTCCTCTTCCTCACAGAACTCTGCTAGGGAAAATGCTTCCTTGAGTTGCTCCAATTCAAGTTTTAGAGTCTCTAATTCTTCTCCACTTAGAGAATTAAGAATAGATTTCACCTGAATGGATATACAATAATAAAAAGTTGTGAGAGTACAAAAGAAAAAAATTTTTTCAAATGGAGAAGAGGCTAGAGACGAAATTAAAATAAAAATTATGAGCTCACCAGTCAATACAAACTATTCCTTAAGAATCTTTATATAAGAGGTTAGTCATTATAGGAAGATAGGGAGAATTTATACTTAAAAAAAAAAAAATTAAAAACTAGAAACAGGGGCGCCTGGGTGGCTCAGTGGGTTAAAGCCTCTGCCTTCGACTAAGGTCATGATCTCAGGGTCCTGGGATCGAGTCCTGCATCGGGCTCTCTGCTCGGTAGGAAGCCTGCTTCCTCCTCTCTCTCTGTCTGCTTCTCTGCCTACTTGTGATCTCTGTCAAATAAATAAATAAAATCTTTTAAAAATAAATAAATAAATAAAAATAAAAATAAAAACCAGAAACATCCAGGAATTATTTGTGCTTAACAATGGCTAAGAAATTAGGGGGAAGTTAAACAGTCTTGAATCAATTAAAAACTAACAGGTAACTGTATCCAAATTGGCAGCTTAAGCCAGAGAGACTATAAAAAAAAAAAAAGACCAAGGCAAAGGGAAAACACAGATGTGCTATTAAGATCTCTTGGTTCTGGGGCGCCTGGGTGGCTCAGTGGGTTAAAGCCTCTGCCTTCTGCTCAGGTCATGATCTCAGGGTCCTGGGATCAAGCCCCACATCAGGCTGTCTGCTCAACAGGGAGCCTGCTTCCTCCTCTCTCTCTCTCTCTCTTTGCCTACTTGTGATCTCTCTCTCTGTGTCAGATAAATAAATAAAATCTTTAAAAAAAAAAAAAATCTCTTGGTTCCCTTATCCTTTTCTATTTAAATTAAAAGAAATAACACCTGACTCATTCTATTCCTAGTAATTAGTTCAAACATTTGTTTGTCGTGGTGTAGTATTTTCCAAGAGTCTCCAGCCTCCATGTGAAATACATTTCATCTTCCAACTGTACAAAAGAAACTATGCAGCACTCCTTTGTTTGGAGGCCATCCAATTGAAATTCTCGATTTGGAATTACCTTTATTTCGCTTTCTCGGGAAAGCATCTCCAGAGCTTCCAGATGCGAAAGGCCTTGAAATTCATCAAAGAGGAGCCCATAATGAGTTTTCTTGTCCGTTTCCAAGGCAACATCATTGGAGGTCCACAGCTCTTCTTTCTCCTTTGCCTCTCGTAAAACCTGAAAAAAAGGTGTAGGCTTACCCTGCAGCAAGTAATGGGAGCTCAAGGGTGAGCTCTGAGAGCTGAAGGAAGCAAAGCTGAGATGGTAACAGGACAGAGCAGTGCCCTTTCATTCCTGGCATGGCAATTCAAACCTGATAGGCTAAGGAACTGCTGGGGAAAAAATGGTCACACATAATTCAATCTTGGACAGAATAAATAACACCCAAGGAACCGGATGGAAAGTGCTTTAAACATTAATGTACTCAACAACTCTGAAAGGGCTTGTTGCCTTCTACTGCACTGATAGGAGCCTCTCACAGAAAAGAAAGAGGAGGAAAAAAAGAACTGGGCATTTTTCTAAACACTAAAGCTCTCATCAGTCACACTCCCACCCCAAAAAAGCCTTAATAAAAATATTGAAAATTTTTCAAAAGGCATTATTAACAAGGTCTACTACAGGCAAAAATACAGATCAAAACAGAAACATAAAGTAAATGGGTAAAGACAAACAATACCTGAGACAATGTAGAATTCCGGTTCATCAGACCCTTCGTTCTTTTAAATCCAGGATCCCCTTCTGCTATTACATCCATTGTCTTTTTCCCAATGAATTCTAAGGCATCCAAACCTCCACTGATCACACTCTTTCCCTAGGAAACACATGCAATAATTACATTCAGTAATTAAATTCATTACAGTAATACTGAAAAAAGACATATGCATGTTTTGATTATATAAAATAGTGGCTAACAACACCAAGCAATGGCAAGAATGTGGAGCAATTAAAACAATCATCCACTGTTTGTAGGACTATAAACAGGTTCAAACATTCTGGAGAACTGTATGTCAGTATCTACTACCATATGAATATCCTTATGACCCAGCAACTCTATACATGGTTGCATACTCAACAGAAATGTGTACAGAGGCTCATCAAAAGATATACAAAATGTTCATGGCAGTCCTAGTTGTAAAAGCTAAAAACTGGAAACAACCCCAGTACTCACCAACCATGGAGTAAATAAATGTTACATAGTCATATAATGGAATATGGCAAAGAAAATGGAATATACCACACAGACTACAGGATGGAGAAATCATACAAACATAATGTTGAGTAAAAGAAGCCAAACACAATAAGGTACCTTATCGTATGATTCCATTTATGTCAAGTTTAAAAGTAGGCAAAATTAATCTATGATGGTAGAAGTCAGGATTGTGGTTATTCTGATGGGCAAAAGGAAGAAGCAGATGGCTGGAAGAGGGTACAGATGGAAAACCTATGATATACCATCATGTTGGAATTTTAGTCTAAGTGTGTTCACGTTGTAAACGTTGTAAAAATTCAAACTGAATACTTATGACTTCACTTTCCTGTATATATCTTTTACTTCAAGAGATTAAAATTAAGAAGTACTAGTTATCTATTCTCATTAAGAGACATTATATTTCCTATAAAATCCTTTAAAAATGTTTCTAATCATCTATAGTTATGCAATTATGGGGAAAAATATTTTGTAAAGTAGGAACATTTTCTAGGCCACCAAACACAGAATTCATATTCCATAAATTATTATGTACATTGCCTCTCTGTTACTCTTCACCTTCTGCTCTCTACTTCTTTAAAGAAAGTTTTCAAGGAGCTCTCACTCTTCCCCTAAGGTCAAAGTGATCTATCTTCAGCAATTTGGACTCCCATAATAGTAATCAGTCCTCATGGCTTTTCAAGAAAAAAAGGAAGAGGTAAAACAAAAAACAAAAAACATTATTATTCACAAAGGGGTACAGTCCACCATGCATTTTACTCACTGTGGTCTGAACAGCAGTAGAGATGGTTGAGAATACACCAAATGGCCCAGTCAATGGGAAGGAGTTTGCATTCTCTTTGGCGTTTGTCTCTCCTACAGGAGGAAAGGGATGTGTAAACATGAAGGAATGGTCCATAAATAGTATTGCTTTATCAGCATCTATGTGAAATTTTAAAAACTAGACCCTGCTTCCTATACACAGGGTAACCTTAGCCCTTTTTGTTTTATTATTTTAAACTATCTACCCAAAACATAGCTTTTTTCATTTTCATTTCAAAAATGAAATCCAGTTGTTTGAACAATTACTGATATATGTAACAATACATTTTATACTGTATGTTTCCATGAATGTGATCTTCTGCACAAAGTCAAATTCAGGCAGAAAATAGAATAGAATACAGTTGCCAAAAACTGAGAGTAAGTGATGGGAGTGACCTCAAAGGGGCATGAGTAGTCTTTCGGGGGGTGATGAAAATATCCTTATATTTTGATTATCAATACACATATAGGATATATTCTTTACTGTATAATCACAATGGACTGTGATTATACTGTGTAAACAAGACTGTATGTTCATTGAAACACATGAACTGTATACCTAAAAAGAATAAGCGTTACTGTATATAAATTATACATTTACATATAAATTACATTCAATTACACATACAAATTGTAAAATCAATAAATCTGACTTTTTAAAATATGGCCTATTTAAAATTTTATCCCAGAAAATTATGCTTATTGGAGAAAAAAATGAGACGATCAAAGAGAAACAAGAGTGAGAGACAATAAAGCCCCTGAGTGATGGAGAAAGCAAAATCAGGGCCTGAAAAGTTTCCTGTTTTCTGTCCCAGGCCACCTTGATTCCTGGTTATAATTCTGTCTTCTGTGGCTTAAGTAAGAGCACACTGATCAAAGCAGATATCTAAAATTAAATTTTGGGATGCCTGGTGGCTCAGTGGGTTAAGCCTCTGCTTACGGCTCAGGTCATGATCTCAGGGTCCTGAGATTGAGCCCCGTGTCGGACTCTCTGCTCAGCAGGGAGCCTGCTTCCCCCCTCTCTCTGCCTACCTCTTGGCCTATTTGTGATCTCTCTCGCTCTCCGTCAAATAAATAAAGAAAGAAAAGAAAAAAAAATTAAATTAAATTTCACCTTATAAAAATCCAAACACACAAAAAAATAAACCCCCAAAATTAAACATGTTAGAATATTTTTTCGTGTCACAATGGAGTCAAATTCAGTTAATTCTTCTTGAGTTCTTACTCATTGATGCCAACACAACACTAGGAAATTGTTATATTCTACTTTCATGGCCTTATTTAATGTTTGTAACAGTATTTTGACATAGATATCCCACTTCATAGATGACTAAAGTGGCTAAAGGACACAGACCCCTGTTAGTCAAAGATTCCAAATTCCTTTCTCACCAGTCCCATGATGCCCTGAATATCAGACACTCATTAAATATATACTGAAAAATGAGCTGAACTGTTCCATTTTGACCCAAAATTCTAGATCTTAATGTTTCCACATACTGACCTGCTGCATACTGGACTTCAGTTGAAATTTCACTGGGACTAGGAATTCCAAGAGAAGTCTCTGCCTTCTCAATAACATTTGAAATACCTTGTCCTAATGAGAAAAATGTTTACATTTTTACATTTGAATATTACTATTAGCCACCAAAACTGAAGAAACAAACCAAAACAATCCTGTAGATTTTTAAAATCACTAGGCTCACAGACATGTTATTCTGACCATACATACCTAATGTTTGGGAGTGTAATCTTACCAAAAAATAAAACAAACAAAAAACCCAACAAACTTGCTTTATCACCAAACAATAGTTTTATATTAACAATTTCTCATTAATGAGAAAATGAGAAACTCTAATAAGAAATGCTAATGAGAAAATGCTGCAAACTCCAGGTATATAAACCAGACCATCATTCCTAATGAATTCTCAAACTATAAAACCCTTAAGTAAACATGGAAGAAGAATTATTAACAAAGTCATTTTTAACACAGATATGTAGCAACATCCACACAAAAATCAATAAAATGACAAATGATCTTACCTACTGTAGCTACTGTAGCTGAGGCTGAAGAAAGTAAGGACTTGCCCCAGCTGCCCCAATATCCCCATCCAGTCTGAGGTACATCTTTGGAAACAGTCTCCTATTCTTCCCCGTAGGTAGAAAAACAAAAGGCAACAGAAAAGCAGAAAAGTAGAGAGTAAGAGAGTGCACAGACAAGGTATCTTAATTATTAGCCCCTAGTACAGGTGAAGAAATACATATCATTAAGCTAAAGAATTGTATTGCTTGACTGACAGATGTTATGTCACCTGCATTTAAGCACCATATAGCAAAGGCAACTACTCATAAAGTCGTTTATAAAACTGATAAAATTTTTTACAGCTTTTAAAGGAAACAGATACAATCCTAAATTGGTTTTGGTTCCAACTGCCTTTTAACCTTAACTTTTAATCCCAGTGTTTTAACAGATACTCTACTTTGCCTACAGCCTGTGATGCCTCAACAGGGAGAACTTCTGAAGTCTCAAGGTCACTGGAAGGTTTGGACTCTGGTCTTTTCCGAGTGATAGCTACAGGTTCTGATTTATTCTCTGGCCTGGCACTTTGGTCAACAGACTCAGAATTCTTGGCTGGCTCACAGTTCCCATCTTCAAGGGTGGAGGTTGCTTCAGTTATCACTGGAGTCTCAGTATCATCTTTCTCTGACATGATTAGATCATTGCCTGTAAAATAAAAGTCAAAGAAAAAAATTAATCTTATAGGCTTTTTTGGTGGAGGTTATTTGTTTAAGCTTTTTGAGATTATCCTACAGTCACATGCAGGTGTAAGAAATATAGACAGATCTGTATATCTTCCACCATGACTTTGTAACCACTGTGTAATATGACAACCAGGAACTTGATACAATCCATTAACTTCTTCAGATTTCATTAGTTTTACAGGTGCTCAGGTGTGGGTATTTAGCTCTATGAAATTTTATCATACATATAGATTTGTGTGACCATCACCACACTCAGGAGACAGAAGAGTTTAATCACAAGGATCCCTTGTGTTGTCCTTTTTCAGCCATATCTCCCCACCCACCTCCCAACTACCACCACACAGCAACCACTAATCTGCTCTCCATCTCCATACAAGATGTTATATAAATGGATTCATACAGTATGTAACCTTTTGAGATCAACTGTTTTCACTCAGCATAAGTCCCTCAAGATCCATCCAAGTTTTTTTATCAATAGTTTCTTCCTTTTTTTGCTGAGCAGTAGCCCTTGGATTGGATGTATTTGTTTTACCACTTACACACTGAAGGACATCTCGGCTGTTCCCAGTTTGGAACTATTACAAATAAAATGGCTATGAACATTAATATACGGGTTTTTGTTGGCACATAAGCTTTCATTTCTATGAAATAAATGACCAAGAGTGTAGCTTCTGGATCATGTTAATTACTTATTCCGTTTTTTAAGAACTGCTACTCTTTCCATTTTACATCACCATCAGTGAAGTATGAGTGATCAAGTTTCTCAGCATTCACACCACCATTTGGTGGTGTTTTTTTTTTCCTTTTTTGAGCTATTCTGTAATAATCTCGCTGTGGCTTTAAACTGTATTTTTATAATGGCTGATGATATATAACATCTTCTCATGTGCTTGCCACCTGTATATCCCTTTCAGTGAAATCCCTATTTGAATCTTTTGCTCATTTTCTTTGTTGGTTTTTTTTTTCCTGTTTTGAGAGCTCTTTATATAGTCTAGATTCAAGTCCTTTGTCAGATACGTAGTATGCAAACATTTTATCCCAGCCTATAGCTTATCTTTTCATCTTCTTAACAGAGCAAAAGTTTTTCATTTCAATGAGGTCCAATTTATCAATTTTTCCTTTTATTGACTGTTATTAAAAAAATCTTAGTCATTACTTTTATCTCAATTTATAAATTAAATTTTAAAATTTAAGCCATCAGATAGAATCTAAATCAAACCAGCTTTTGAGTAGCAATGCTAACCAATTCAGTCCCTTCCATAAGTACAGCTCTTTAGCAATTAAAGCCAAGATATCACTGGTGTTTTTACAAGAAGCAGATGCTGGTTTCTAAAATAACCAAGTAGAGGAGAAATAAAGATAACCAAAGGAGAAATAAATGCATATATACCAAAGACTCAGGTATACATAAGCATGTATTTTATCCCAGTATATCAAATGTTTCCAGTGTACAGAAGAGAAAGACATATTAAGAACTAAGGCAGCTCAAAAAAAAAAAAAAAAAAAAAAAGGAACTAAGGCAGCTCAACAGGTGCACTGAGGTAGCTCAGTCAGTTAAGCATCTGACTCTTGATGTCCACTCAGGTCATGATCTCAGGGTTTTGAGAGCAAGCCCCGCGTCAGACTCCATGCTGGGTATGGAACCTGCTTAGGATTCTCTCTCTCCCACCCCTGCCTCCGCCTCTCCCCCTACTTCTCTCCCTCTCAAAACAAAACAAAAACAAAAACAAAAGGCACCTTAGAAACAGCATTATAAGTGAGGTATATATAAAATGCTAAAAGAACAGAGAAGAAGAAGTCTGCTGGAATCAGAGAATATGATTCATGCACAAAGTATCTGAAATAGCAAAAAATCATGGCCATAAACTGAGAACATGACTGCTAAATCCAGGCTTTAAATGTTCTTTGGCCTGCGCAGTGTTCAAACTTTTATATTATTTGCTAACATTTAAAAATCAGACTTTAGGGGCGACTGGGTGGCTCAGTCAGTTGAGCAACTGCCTTCGGCTCAGGTCATGATCTCAGGGTCCTGGGATCAAGCACGGCATCTGGCTCCCTGCTCCGTGGAAAGTCTGCTTCTCCTTGTCCCTCTACCCGTCTCTCCACTCATGCTTTCTCTGTCTCTCTCTCAAATAAATAAAATCCTAAAAATAAAAAATTTTAAAAATCAGACTTCATACATAAATACAGATTTTCAACTTCTCTAGTAAAGTTGAAATATCTGGTAACACTGGGCCCACTTTTAACATGATAATAATCAGCTCAAACCAAAGAGTTGCTGGGCCTTTTTAGACAGGATAATGTTCTCTAGTTCTCTGTAATCTCCACCTAAACCTACTTGGTTCATTTGTTACCTGATTGGCCCAAGTATACATGTGAGTTTGCAACACCTGCCTTGAAGGGCACTTGGGATTTTGACAGGTGAAGGTGCCAACGAGAAAATTCAAAAGTGTGGAAACGACACATGGGAAGAAGTGTGAATGGAATGGACAGACATGGAATATCGGCAAATAACAGTAGTTAATATACAGGGAGAATGATGAAAAGATGATCTAGTCTCCGTGGTACTGTGTAAATCTATCTTTCATAAGCCTAGAAAGATAGATTTACACAGTACCACGGAGCCTAGATCATAAGGGTATATGACATACGTACATTATACATTACCAAAACACAGAGAAAAAAAATTCAGATGAAACTACCCACACACATACACACCAACTCTGAAATATTCATTCATTTGCAAACATTTTTTGAATACCTTCTATGTACCAAGTTTTGGAGATTAAAAATAAATTTATGACAATTTCTGCCCCATTTACTCCAAGAACCTAAGAGAAAAGACTACACAGTTCTTGCGTAAAGTTCAATGTTTTGTGTGGCTAAATAAATATGTATTTTTTTACACTATCATTTCACTTTCCTTATATGCTCTTCCCAAATTACAACACATAATAATATATATTTTATAAGTAGTATACTATATTCAGCAGTCCCCCTTATCTAAGGTTTCAGGTACCTGTGGTCATCCACAGTCTGGAAACAAATGATCCTCTTTCTGAGGTGTTGTCATAAGGTCAATAGCAGCCTAATGCTACATCACAGTGTCTATATCATTCACCTCATCTCACCTCATCTCACCACAGAGGCATTTTATCATCTCACAGCTTGGAACATATCACCCGTAAATAAGGGGCAACTACTATATAATATATATAATATACATATTCCATAAATAATTCATATGATTTTATAAAAGACTGGAAGGACATATTCCAAAATATTAAACATTGAGTCTATTCCTTCATTTGTGCACCAAAGATTTAATAAGCATCTAGAATGCGCTAGACATTTGGGTAGGTGGAAAGGTGGTGGCTGTTCTTATTATCATTACCGTCACTTTCATTATTATAATGGCTGCTATCCCTGTTAACGGATTCATACTCTAACAGGAAAAGCAACAACAACAACAAAAAAGGAATAAATTTCAGGTATATGGAATCGCAGTATTTAAGGTTTTTGTAAGTTTTCCAAGTATCCTGTAGTGAGTGTATGTTATTTTCATAATTGGAGTGGAAAGACTCCAGGAACTGACACAAGTAAAATTAAACGGCTGAGTCCTGTTTCTTAAAAATAAAAACGCACACATTTATATGTACATATATTATACGTACATATACCTCCCCCCCCCCCAATTTTCCTTGGGAACTTCCAGCCACACAGTTACCAAAATGCAGGGGGTTTAGTTTAGCAGCTAAGAACACGGGCTCCGGAATTGGACTTTCTTCCAACTTTTCCTGAGGGCCGTAACTGCGAGGAAGTCGGTTCACCTAGCTGCTTCTCCGTTTCCTCAACTGTAACAGGGGGTAGCAAGCCCGCCTGGTAGGGTTCCTACAAGGATTCCACCACCTGAGGTACGCGAGGGGCTTGGAACAGAGGCTGGCACACAGCCTCAAAGAGGTAACAGGGGCTTTAGGACGGAGGAGGTGGTCCTGTCATTACTGTCGTTATTAATATGGCTGTCTCTAGGCGAACAAACAGGCGCTCTCACTTCTTTCCACATACAAGACCAGGTCTCAAACGGGACATCAGAGGTCAGGAAGAGCTCCCAACTTTTCCGACGCTGACAACTAGAATTCCTCACACAAACGTAGCGCTTCAATAACCAAAGCGCTTTACAGCCTCCACATCCAGTCGGGAAGTGTCGGCCGCCCGGCCCTAGACCGCCTCCTCCCCCTCCCCAGCCTCCTGGACCCGCCAGCCCCGAGTCCGAGCCCCCGCACCCCGCCAGCCTCCTCCCAGGAAGCCCCGCACCTAGCCCACCGCCACCCTCACCGCCGCCACAGTCGCCGAAGAGCCGCTCCTGATGCCCCGGAAGTACTCCTTCAGTGCGAGGCGGTCCCGCCTACTCGAGCGCACTTCCGGGTCTGGCTCGGGCCAGAAGGAACTGAGCTGCCAGTCTGGTAAGTGAGGATTGTGTTGGGGTCGTGCGAGAAGGTACTCGGGGTGCCAAGACATGGGTTTGAGCCGATGGGTCGGGGGCCAACGTGAAGGGAGCTAGGATACCCCCGGTCATTTTAGAAGGCCAGGCTTGAGCTGCAGTTCACCCATCGTCGGTTTCCTGAGCATCGGCTACTTGCTAGGCATTCCCTTCGGGGCCCGGGACACACCGGCTTACAAGCCGCCCCTGGCCCTGCTCCCAGGTACTTGACATTCTGGGTCGCGGCAGACTGTAAACAAGTCAACAAGCAAACATTATCTGAAATAGTAGCTTGGGGGGGAGGGGGCGGGGAAGGCTCAGTTGGTTAAGCCTGTGCCTTAGGCTCAGGTCATGATCCCAGTGTGTGGGGATGCAGCCCCACATTTGGCTCCCTGCTCAGCGGGGAGCCTGCTTCTCCCTCTCTCTTTGCCCCTTCCCCCCTGCTAGTGCTCGCTCATTCTCTCGCTCTCTTTCTGACAAATAAATAAAACCTTTTTTAAAAAATAAAAAGAAACAATAAACAAAATAGCGGGGGGGGGATGTTAGTGAGTACTTTAAAGAAAATTAAACAGCATAAAGTAATGGAACAAAGTGAGGGACTAATCCTTAGGAAAATCTTGAGGAGAGCATTCCAGGCAGAAGGAATAACCAGGCCTTAACAGTGGTAAGAAACTTAGCAAGGTCAAGGGAAAGAAAAAAGGCCACTATTACTGGTGCAAAAAGAGGAAGGAGGATGAGACCAGAGGCTTAAATGGGCCAAATCTTACAGTGTCTATGAGCAGGACAAGGAGCTGGACTTCTATTTGGAGAACAATGGGAAACCATTGAAGGTTTCTATGGGGAAGAGTGGTGTGCTCTTATTTATGATTTTAAGATTAAAACTGACCATCAGAAAGATGCATCTCTGAAGTTGTCTTTGAGCAATGAGAATGCATGAAACCCAGACTGAAAGCCAGAAAGAGACATTAGAGATACCTTCATTGTACAGATGTGAAAAACTAAGTCCCAGAGAAGTGAAGGGATTTGGTCTTTTTTTTCTTTTAAAGATTTTATTTATTTATTTGACAGAGAGACAGTGGGAGAAGGAATACAACCAGGAAGTGTGGGAGAGGGAGAAGCAGGGTTCCCGCCCAGCAGAGCAGCTCAATTACAGGACCCCAGGACCACCATCCGAGCAGAAGGCAGATGCCTAACGACTGATGCCCCAGGGATTTGGTATTTTAAGAACCCAGGTATGCCAACTCCATCTGTTGTCTTCAGGATTATCTTCTCAATGTTCATATGTAATAATTGTCACTTCCTAAAACCCTTCAGATAGTTTCCTTTGCTTTTCATGGTGCTTCTCCACACTTAAGGGCATCACTGTCATCTGATAGCTTGTTAAAAATGCCTATTCAAAAAAAAAAAAAGTATAAATATAAAATAGGTAGTTTCCTCTGGTATTCTGTGGTAATGGAAATTGCATAGAATTTGGGGCTTAAATATGGAATCTCTGGTAAGTCACTTAACTGTGTCTTAATCTTATATTTAAAATGCTGTTGATAATAATTATAGCAGCAGTTTTCAAACATTTTGGTCTCAGGATCTCATTACCCTTTTGAAACGTACTGAGAACACCAGGGAGTTAGTGCGTGTGACTTATATCTATCAGTGTTTACCATTTTAGGTATCAAAACAACTTTCAAAAATTTACATATGATAATAAATTCATTACGTGTTAACATGGGTAGCATTTCTATGAAGAATATTTTCCAAAACAAAAAAAAATCATTAAGAATGGCATTGTTTGGGGCACATACGTGGCTCAGTCGGTTAAGAGTCTGACTCTTGATTTCAGCTCAGGTCATGATCTCAGCCCACATCAGGCTCGGTGCTGGGAATGGAGTCGGCTTAAGATTCTCTCCATTTCCTTCTGCCCTTCCTCAACCCCCCCCCCCAACTTTCTCTTATTCTTTTTCTCTCCCCATCCCCCTCTCCCTCTCCAAAAAATAAAAAAGATAAAGAATGACATTTTTATAAGTCTTTTTAATATCTGGTTTAATAGAAGATAGCTAGATTCTCATATCTCCTGCGTTCATTCTCTTGTGATAGCACTCATCACATAGCATTTGGAAGATTGCACCACATTGTGTGAGAATGAGAGTGTAAAAGAAAATAAGATTCTGGTATTATGAAAATCATTTTGAAAAAGTCTCAAAGACCTCAGGGGCCTCTGTACCACACTTTGAGAATCACTGGATTGCAATATTGTTAGGACAATCGAAGGAAATATGGGCTTGATTTGTAAGTCATTAAAACTATATGCACATTAAAAAGCCAATGCCCAGGCCTTGCCCTTAGAGATGCCACATCAGTAAGCCTGTGTGGGACCAAGAAATATTCATCTTTAACAAGCACCACAGTTTAATTTGATATGTTTTCAAAAATTGCTATTTGAGAATGCCAGTTAAAGGTCATATTCAGAGTGTTTTCCCCACTAAAATTTTATACATAAAAGCTATATTTCCATATCTTCAAAAGTTTCCATTAACACTTTCCAGAGACTGAGACTCTAGAAAGTCAGCAAGAAGTTTGTGGCAAGTACCTTTCTAATGGCCAGGTTGATGAGCATCTGAATTCAGATCGTTTAATCCAGTCCTATGCCAAAGACTGAGAAAGTTTTTAGACTCTGATCTGTAAGCTTACAGTCTTTTGGACAAATGGATGACTAATAGAAGAGAGAAACCGGTAAGTCTTAACAATTGAGTACTCTCATTGTGCTAGGCAACTAACAGAGCAGAAGAAATTCATCCAAAATGAAGAGGATAAAGGTTGAGAGGGCTTCTTGAATAAAGTGAAATTTGAGTTTGATACTCTAGAGAGGGTGGAATTTCCACAGGAAGATTTGTGGGGAGGAGCAGGAAGTTTCTAACAAAAGGGACAATTAGAACCAGAACTTTAAAGTAAAAAGTCATTTGGAGAGATTACAGTAAAACAAGTGTAGTTAAGGCTTTGAGCCATGACAGAAAACTGGGAAGATTGTAAGATTTAAGCAAAGAAGGGAATGATAATGATAATCAGCCTCTAGATGAAGAAACGGATCATAGCTAATTGGTGACAGGTGTAACTGAAGACTAAGCTTCTAGATCGATTCATTCCTTCAATTCAACAAGCAATTATTCTGCACACAGATACCACTGGGCTTCCTCTGGCTATTTCTGTTCTACCAGTTGAATCTTCCTGGAAATTATGATGCCTGACCAAAATTTGAAGCTTATCTCTTGGGCAGTGGAAAAATCAATAGATCTTTAATCATAATGACTTTCTTGGATTTGTGTTTAGGACCAGTTCTTAGAGGAGTGGTGTTGGGGTATAATTGGAGTTAGTGAGACCCGTTTAGAAATTAGAAGAATAGTGTGGTGCCAAGGTAAGGTAAAAGGACTGTGACTAGGGTGGGGACACAGTATGATTTAATTGAAAAGCATCTAGGAAGTAGAATAATAATAACAATAGCATGTATTTATAATGTACCCACATTAGTTCATCTAATGCTTGTAACTAGCCTGTGAGGTCATTCCTGCTAATAACCTTATTCAGTAGATGTGAGAACTAAGGCCTCACAAGCCCACGGCTTCATCCAGGAATAGGATCAGGCACTTTACTCCATGCTCCTGACCAAGAAGCCTTAATGATCTTGTAACTTTGATCTTGCAAAACTAAGGAACTGTATTGTGTGGCTATCATCCAAGATATGTATATACTAGACAAATAAATCTGAAGGTGAGAATGAGAAGTTCTGTTTTAGTTATACTGAGTTTAATTTTTTAGACTATAGAGGGGAAAAAAGTGAGTAAGGAGATCATAAATCTAGACCCATTACATCCTATATCAAGTAGGTATTTTTATCATTTGCATTCAGTAGCTTCAGTAAATGCTTATGGCAAAAGGGTATAAGTCACAGTTATAGGAAATGATCCTGAGTTTAAAACAAAGCTCCAGTAAATACAGAAAAAGGTGTTTTTCAGAAAATATGTTGAAGTTTGAGCTCAGCGCCCAAATGCCAGCTATGAAGTGTGTGATGGTTCTAAGATACTACTGGGAGCGTAAGGGCTATTTTAATTAGGAACTTTTCAGAAAATAATCCTCAAAATGGTGATGTCTTTTGGGGTATTACTAACCTTTTTATGGTTCAGATCTCTATAATAATGCTTGAGTATAACCAGAAGAGTTTTATGTTTGTTCTTTGCAAAGAATGGAGGAGTAGTAACAATCTGCTCTTCATTTGCTTTTTCTCCCCCTTGCCAACTTGGAGTGCCACTCTGGTCCATTTGTGTGCCAGCCATGAGGGATCTTCTCCATTTTCCAAGTATAACAGTGCAGGCAGAGAAAAGTAGATGAGCTGTAATACAACCTAGAACACATTTAATTATGGGGAATAAAGCATTAATATCCCAGTATACTTGAAACTAGTACCATCTGGGTATCCGTGTTTTTCCCCACTTTGTATTATCCCAGAACTATTTCTGCAAACAGCAGTTTCCTCAGCCAACTTAACATTGAGCCATGAGCACGGAAATCAGCTACATTACTTCCTTATTTACTTCTGTTGAGAATTGGAGCCGAATGGAAATATTTCTTCTCTCTAAAGTTGGCAGGAACAGCAACAAGGCAATCTGTTAGGGATGACAGCTTAGGGGTTTTTCTTTGTTCTTTGTTTCATTCTTTATTTTTCTTATGATATAGCCAATATTTAGAATGGTTCTATTGGGTAAAATCATCTACATTTCTGATTATTCATGATCCTAGAAGAGCTTGTGTTTTATTGTATCTAAAAGATGAAAAAGGAGTTGGATTAAATTTGAATATCACTTTTCTGTTATTCTTATTAATGCTGAAGAAA